GTATAACCCATTTAAGTGAAAACCCAATATTAACCCGTCCAAAACTCGTTCAACCCGCCCAATTGCTAGGTATAGCTGTAATCGAGTCGAGTCAAACTCGAGTATCACCATACTCGAGCTCGACTCGACATACAAGAAAGGTGCTCGAGTGAGTAGTATTATTGGAGCTCGAGCTCGAGCTCGAAGCTTGCTCGCAATACTCGAGCTCGACTCGCATGGGCTCGAGTCAATCGAGCCTTATTGAGCTCGACCGAGCTCGAGTTACTAAATTTCATTTTCTTGATAATTTTTGTGCGAAAAAACATTATTGCCCTTTTAAAAATTTTATACGATTTGAAACATTTCGTAAATTCAACAACTCTTTTGGGTATAAGAGTAATTTTATAATAATAATATATTGAATAATTAAAATTAAAAGGCTCGATAAGGCTCGACGAGCCTTCGAGCATCGCTTTTGGATTTTCGAACTCGACTCGTTTAGCTTATCGAGCCGCTCGAGCTCGACTCGAACTCGGGTTGACCGAGTTCGACTCAAGCTTTTGACCGGGCTACTCATGAGTAGCTTGATTACATCCCTAGACAATGATTTTTGTTGTATCAATGGTCATCATATCTAAAGGAACATTGAAAACCTGGATCCAAAAATCACAGTGGGAAAAAGGAATCTTCCTAGGAGAGACATCACCTTCATATTCTGTGAGAACCAAAAGCTTTTGATCAAAGGACAATGGACATCCTTGTAATACATGAGCTTTATCTATTGGGTGGAAAAAACGGAATAGAGGGATGTTATCATCAATGAGGGTGTAAGAAATCCCATGCGGAGGGTTCCATATCCCTTTCAAAGTGTTTATCACGGCTTCCACATTGATAGGCTTCGTGGAGAGGACTTTCCCTAGAGGGCAAAAGGAGCCACTATGTTGGACAGCAGCGTTGGTTGTTAGGGGGATTACTAGCCTGTTGGATTCATTCTCACGAACTATCAAGTTGGCATAGAGCTTTTCTAGATCTTCAGCCATCACCAAGGAGTTTCCAACTGAACAAGTGCCAAAAGAGGTCAAAGTCACTGCTGAGAGGGTGAACAGCATCCAAGACAAACACTGCAAAAGAAAAGAGCAGTTAATAGAGAATGAGGCAATGAAAAAAATGATACTATAAAGTAAAGAGGAGGAAAGTTGTGTGGGAGTAGAAGGTTTTGGGTGGATTATATTAGAAACAATGAAACCTTCACTGGATTTTGACTAAAAGGAGTCTAGCAAAACCCTAGGAAAGATGGTGACTTACATAAGCAGCAGATACGCCCACAGAGACAACTCTCATAGGAGTAATATCTACTTTAGCTACTAGGAATATTATTCAAGTAACTTTAAGATCCCTGATTTTTCCCCTTATCTTTTAATCAGATCACCTTTTAAATAGTAATCAAGATTCTCATATCTTTATGCCAAATTTGCACCTTGCTAAATAATTTTATTTCGAATTTTGTGTTGCTTTCCCAATTTATTGGTTTCTAAAATTAATTTTTTAACGTAAACTATATTCTCATAATATGGAATTATGTCGAAATGGACTTTTGCAATGGTTGAAAAAAAAAATTAGTTGTTTGCTAAGTTCTAAATTGTTAAATATGTTAAAACAAATAAGCAAGAGACAATTTTGTCATGGGAAACTTAATGTGATTTTGGCACATTAAGAAATTAATGATAGGAGATAAAGTATGTTTAAGGGGGTAAGGTTTTACTCAAGCCCATCTTTCGCGGGGCAACGTGTAATTAGCCTATGATACATTTTGTATCGATGACAATATAGGAAAAATCTCAAGAATTTTTTCCATTCAGGATGACATTTATGTTAGTTTTTCTCATACAACTAAAAGTTTGTTAGAGGTAGGGATAAAAAGTAGATAATTGAAGAATTTAGTTAGAGAAAAATATAGTTTTGGTCTCAATCTCTAGTCCATATACCAAATTAGTTCCTAATATTTTGACTAAAATAAATTTGATTCTCCGTGTTTCTGATTTTATGCAAATTAAGGATAATTGACAAAAATTTAACAATCATGATTGTCAAAATCAATTTATCGTTAGTCAACAATTTTGAGTATGGGTTTTTTTGTCTCCATTGTTTGGCTTTCAAATCGTTATAGTTTCTTATGTTTCATATTAGGAATTCTAATTAAGCTTTCATTTTCTTTATTTCATTTATTTATGTCACTAGTGTCTCATATCTTTCTTCTTTTTTGCATATATAATTAGTCTAAGAGTGGGTACACTATAAGTGTTTTTATTATTTTGCATTATGAGTAATTAACTAATAATGAATTCTATCATTTTTCACTTACATTGGTTACTAAGCATTCAAAATATCTATTTAAAATATGAGCAAATACACTACTATATATTTAAATTATGTTGATAATCTAATAAATTTTTCTTTCTTTTTCCTTTTTGTTTTTAAATAGGAATTTTTTCTTTCTTTTTCCTTTTTGCGTTTAAATAGGCTATCAATTAAATTAGGTATTTTATAAAATTATTTTAATTCTTCAATACTATCAATTTATGTGAACATTACAAATAATTGATTTAAAACTATATCATTGCAACATTAGGTTTTTATAACAAGGAAAAAAAGAAAAATTTTATTAAAAAAACTCTAAAAGCACTTTGTATTAGTACTTGTCTTAACTAGTTATTATACTTTTGGGCAGGTAACTAGCTATTATAATGACAATTTTTAACTACAACTATTTGAAATTTATGTCCACAAGTATTTCAAGAATTTAGGCTCCGTTTGGATTAGCTGTTTTTGAGGGTGTTTTTCAAAAAATTTACGGTTTATTTTTTGAAGAACAGTAAATGTTGTTTGGAAGCTATCGTTCAAAAATAGATTGTTTTTAAAAAACAAACATGTTTGGATTCACTGTTTTTGAAAAAACAGCAGTTAAATTTTTCAACAATAATTATCCTTTCTACAATACTTAATGCCGTTTGTAGTGGTACAATTAAACGTAAACAAGATACATAGGTTTCATAAGACTACGTGCCAGATATAATATGTCCGTGGAAACATTAATTATTACAAAGGCATTGACAATCCTTCTTATAGTTAGAAAAGCCCCACGAGGGAGAGATCACCATGTTCTACTGATATTGGTGATAGTACATGTGATTGGCTATTGCTCTCCTATCTTCATTCTAGCCAGCAATTCCTTGTGCCGATATATCCAGTGGTTGTGCTCCGGCCATTTGGTTGCCCTGGTCTAAATTATCTACTAATGCTGCATCAGCTTCTTCTTCAACAAAATATACGTCATTGGGAACATAATTGCGCATGAAGTTGTGCAAGGCACAACAATCAAGGATAATGTTATTTTGTGTTGCCATCAAATAGTTCTGCATGGGCCCCTTAAGTATCGAAAATCGCTTTTTCAAGATACCAAACGTGCGTTCTATAATGTTTCTTAACGATGCATGGCGTCTGTTGAAAAGTGCTTTTGCTGCCCGCTCTTGTGGGGTTCCCCGTGCACCCCTAAAGGGAGTCATAAATCCTGGCATATTTGTGTATGCCGCGTCTACCACATAATACTTACCTGCATATCATGTAGTTATAGTTAAGTCCATTATGGCAACTCAAATTTAAACAATAAGAAAACTCAGTTAGGCAAGGCATTATTTGATTTAATTTTCACGCACCTGCTGGTGGCATTGGAAAGGCACAATTAGGATCAAGTAAAACATCTCGTAAGATCCTAGAATCATGGGCATTACCCTTCCACCCTACTTTGACATAAGTGAATCTCATATTATGGTCACACACGGCTAGAATATTTTATAATAAGCCGCCATATCTATTCCGGTAACGATCCCTGTCTTCGGCTCTACACCAAGGTGAAACGTGTGTTCCATCAATAGCTCCAACGCAATCCTAATCACAAAGGCCAGCGTTACATATTGAATAGGTTTTCATAAAATACTAACTTCACATTAAATCCCTAACCTTAAACCATGGCCAGAACAGCGCACTGTTCTGTATTCTTGGATGAATTACGTGATAATCTATCGGCCTGACCAAGTTGCGTCCCAATCGAACGAGAGATCGAAGGCAGCGTTGTGGATGGCGGTTCACTGTCTCGGAAGAATGTTGGAATCTCTCGGCTAGCACCCTATGTCGCTCATTATAACTCAAGCACAGAAGGCAAATGGTGATAGACTCATGAATTCCTACCCGTTGTGTAGGGTGCGGCTCCCAATAGCCCCGCTCAAGCAACAAGTCACATAACTACTGGAAAAGGGAGCTTCCATTCGAAGGTTATCGAATATTCTATCTCGATGGCCATTTATTAGCTCTAGAACCCATTGAGCACCCGACTGTGAACCATCTCGGATTCGTCACCGCTGCAAAGGGTTTAGGTATGAGTCGAATAAGGCCAATCCAACAAGTACAAACATGGTGAAGGTCAAAATGAGCTCCTCCTCGTCCGATTCGTCAGAAGTTTCCCCACCATGTGCATAATGATCATACTCCATTTCAAGTATTATTGGTGCAGCTTCGTCAAAGGTGAATCTGCAAGGTTTATGGCAGTAGTAATGATCAAAATCAAGATCAATAGGCTCCTAATTAATCATAAATGACTTAAAAATAGCTATACACCTGCAATAGTGAATACTCGAAATTATATGCGATTTACAAAGGCAAGTCATTAATTTCCTTTTCAAGACACCAACGAACAAGCCAGTGTTAGTAGCAAATAGTATCCTTCAATGCACATGGAGTTAGAATGATGCTTTAATGTACAGTTTAGCAATATCCTAAAATACTAGAGCAATCACCCAATTGGCCACAAACATTGTGAATAAAATAAAAAACTCATTGTTAACTTATCGTGGCCACAAAGCATCCTAAATTTAAATACTAGCCAACAAAGTCATGGCTACAAAGTCATCCTGAATTTAAATACTCAACATTAAGAATTGTAAAATACTCAACAAAGTCATGGCCACAAAGCATCCAGAATTTAAATAAACAAATGACAATCGAAGAAAAAAAAACTCAAATGTTCCGATAGCAAATGCTATAACTAACTGTCTCAAGTATAAACAAACAAAGGCAACAAGTCAAGCTTCAAAGAAGTGCTCCCAATGCACAAACGACTTTAACGGGGGTGGGGGAGGGGGCTCCTGAGTGCCATGGTCAGGCAGGAAACAGCCTTTTAACTTCATAAAGGTAATGCGGTCAGCGTCTGATCTAGCTAAATTCCAAATAGCCAACTCTTGAGAGTCCTTCAATATTTCAACAGCGGCCATTTTGGCTACATAGGCCACGTTCTCTAATCCCCGAAATTATTCCATGGCAATTTCATAGTCCGATTTCTTCGAGAGATAGCGGCCAGAACGACGCTTGGTCAGAGAGCTGGCTAACACACTCATGCCGCTGCTCTTCTTTCGACTAACCAGCGACTCAATAGTGTCAAGAGCCCTGAGGTATCTACCAGTTACTGAACCAGAGGTGATGGACATTGGACTACCGCTTGAGCAATCACCCGACTTCCGCTTTCCTTTACCCTTCTTCCCTTTCTCTTCATTCACCCCAACTACCTCAATATCAGCATCCTCGGCCGCATAGTCTAACCTTCCCTTTCCCCGTGCACATCGTGCAGCAGTCTCCATGTCTTGCTTCTCGGCTGAAGTACGCGGGTTGTTCTCCAAGCCAGAGCTGAAGTCTCCCGTTGCGCCTTGATTGACAAATACCTCCTCAAGTAAATGATAGACTGAGCAGTCATTTTGAAATTTTACAAATTTTGGGTTCACCTAGTAAAAAAAACACAGCCAAAAGGGAGTTAACAAAACCAGCACATATAAGGAGTAAAAACACAGTCATGGTAGATATAAAAACTCAATTATTGAATAGTTATACCTGCTCTATCTCGGCCCACTTGTTATCGTCCATAAGCCAGGTAAACTTCTGGCTATCCCAACCCAATTCCGTTCCCAACCTTTTGAAGGCAATGTACAGTTTGGTTAGTTCTCGCAAAGCATAGTATTTGGCTCTTATACTACCAAAGGTGAAGGAGGTGCCGTATTGGCCGTTCAACCGCCATTGGATTTCGGGAACCACATAGCTAGAAATGTTATTGTCCCTAATTTCAGTAGCTCTATGCATGTTCACAAGGTGGTGGGCAAAATCAATTTCATGCTGCTTAGAGAAATGCAAACGCTCCCCACCTCCTCGCCTTTGTTTTCTCATCTTAATTAACCCATAAACAAATCCAGAAACAAACAAAGAAATAAAGTGATAGGAATGATTATTCAAGATACAGAGATGACATAACAATAACCAAACTGGAAGAGGAGCAAGAATTACCTTGTAGTAGTTAGAAATGCACTGCCTTAAATCGTTTTCCCCCCAAGCTGAGTTGGATGAATGAGTATACAAGATGCTTTTATGCTTCAATGCTGTGTTGACATAGGAATAAAATTACTGACCAATAAACAAGGCAGTGAACAAAGGGGAACCAAGCAAATATACCTTTGGCAGCACGGCGGGTAATAGGCGGGGGTATGTAGCCTTAGAAAGCAGCAACTATACAAGTCAGACTACCTTGTTTTTTAGCACCGAACAGCAATATGAAGTTAGACAGTAGACATCAAGTATTTTCGAGGCCAAAGAAAAAAATTTACAAGTCTTAAATAGCATCAGGCAATTCATTGCAGAAAAAACACAGAATTAGGCAAGAATAATATGACAACATGAGTTCAATCCGCAATTAAACAAGGCAAGACACAGAGAGGACAGTGCACAATATGGAAAAGCACTAAGCAAAAGCTGCTCTACACTAATTTCCATTGAGATCAGCAATATGACAGATAAAAACTTATTCCACCACAGACTGCTTTTTCTCATATCAGCTTTCACATGAAAAGCTTCACAGTAAGCACACTTGAAAGTGGACGGTGTCTAGGAAGTTAGTGTGCTAAGGAGGGGAGGATATGCAGCAAATTACTTCCTCTGACCTTCCCAACTACATAAAAACTTCCACTTTAATATTCTCAAAAGCTTCACTCTAAGTCATGGCAGCAGCATAGGCTACACTTGTTTATTTTGGCTTATAGAATTTAAGCTTTCCTAAAGCAGCTAGCATGGTTTAGATGTGAACATATAATTTCACCAACAGTATCCCCCAAGAGAAAAATGGTAGACAAGCATTTAGCTACTTCAAGTTAGACTACAAATCATACTCCAAAAATAAAAAATTAGCATACTAAAGTAAGAACTACTCATCCAAAACCCATTTTACACATCTTTTCAACAGGTTTTCAAAACTGTCCAAACGCTCATAACTAAAATAAAACAATGAAGCAAGCAGCAATAAGGTTTCTGGTGGCATTTGAAATCACTGGAATAACCAAAACCTCAAATTCACAATAGCTTTTGGGAAGCAACTTCAATGTCTTTTCAAGAGCCAAGGTTGTGAATATATGCCTTCAATGCACGGCAACAGATTAATGCTTTCTACTAAACTCTATCCAATAATTAACATATCAAACTATCCCACACTTTGTTGTAATATTTTCCTAGATCTTCTTACCAAAAAAAACTTAAGTATAAAAAATTATTTCAGCACTCAAAATAATTGGTTCATTTTTACTTACATAACAAAAATAATGTGCCCCTCTTATTTCCGCAGTATAAGCAAACACTTAAATGGTTACAATTATTTTTTTTCCCTTTTATCCAACCAAATAAATCCAGGAAAATATGTTCGCATTCATTAAATCCTCAGACAAAAATACTTCTGACATGCAACCATAAAAAGGTTTTCAAAATATAAAGCAAGCAATTTTCTACCAAAGCATTCCAAAATTCTTCGAAAATAGCAAAAATCTCCGCAAATGAAGTCCATTCTTGAATGAAATCGAACCTCGTCTAGAAACCAGATCGCAAGTGTATCACATATATTTGTGATTTGGCCACATCAATTAGACATTTTTAACCAAAACACAAAAAACCCACTCATTATTCTAGACTTGGATAAGCTAAGAAGCATTTCAAAGCAGGGAAAAGAAAACATACCTTTTTCAACCTGCAGAGCGAAGAGGGAGTCGGAGTTCCTTGATGCCAGACGAAGTCTCGCAACGAGTCTCTGCTTGGATTGTCTGAAAACGTGAGAGAAGCGGCGGAAAAGCAAACTCAGTTAGTGTGGATGCTTTAGAGGAGCATTTCCAGAAGCAAAGATTTAGTTCGACTTTGGTTTGCAGCGGCGTTCACACTGAATTGCATTTGAGAAAGTGGTTTAGGGTTGAGTGGTCAAAGAATAGCCGAATACAACACAATTGGGGCTTTTTTCACAAAAATGAGGTAGGTTTGTGTTTGTTTAACTGTACACTTAATTGTTATTGGGTCACAACATTTGTGTCATTGAAAGACAAAAACAGTTTTTTGAAATAATTCCAAATCCAAACGGAGCCTTGTAATAGTAATTAGAATAAAGTTGTGTGTGAGAATTAGAATTCTCATCTTTTTCCACAAATTTTTATTTTTATGTATTATCTGTGTATACTTACTAAATTGCAAATAATTTAACAAAGAGTTGCACTTTAAGCTCAAGGACAAGGTTGTGCTGATATGAAGTACTCTTAGGTTTCTTTTTATGCAAAGACCACGTTTGTTATATATTTAATTTAATTTACATTTTATTCTTTTTTAACTGTTATTATGATTATTTGAAATCAAAAGGATTATATTGATCAAAATTCCACATATTAGAGACCAAAAATGCAAAATTAGAACTTTTGACTAACGTCAATTCAATTGTGATCATTAGTTATTATGATTTTCTGTTAGTGTTCCAAAATTTGTATGAAATCAAAGACTTTGGCCACCAAATTTCCTTTAGTTGCAACGTTAGGGACCAATTTAGTATATAGACCAAACACTAAGCACCAAAATTATATTTCTTCCTTTTATTCAGTATACTTTGGAATGCATTAGAGCAATATCAGAATATTAGTAAGTTGTATTTATTCATGCTAGGAGGAAATGCCCGTGCGCATAGGAGTTTAGTGCCTATGATTAAAGATGGTTAATAGTTATTATTTAGTGTTTTATAGTATAAGAATTGAAGTATGATAAATTTATTATGTGATGTTAAATAGAAAATTCTTAAGTTACATACTAAGTCAAAAAAAATATAATATGTAATGAAACATAATTATAAGATACGATCAACTACTTTGCATCCAACCTAGTAAAATAAAATACTTATTTATATCTGCTCATGCACTTTAGGGATATTAAAATCTGCTATTGAGTTTGAATTTTATCTTGATACGAGGGCAATCCATCGCATTATCTTGTCATATAAGTGAGATTTGAATAATTAGCATGCTTGAAGAAATCATTGCTAATGGAATTTTGGTTCTTGCAGGCCAAGTTCTTGCATTTATATTGATTCTAAAGACATATCATTACGAGACCTTCACATAGACCAATCAATCAATTATAATTTATTGTATGATTTAGGAGATATAGCAAAGCATCTACTTCTTGATAGGGGATTATAATCACGAAATATTAGTTTTTGAGCTAATTGCAAAGATATACAATAACTAACCTTCTAATTTAGAGGAATAATTATCTCAAAAAGGTACTAAGGCATCTTAATCTACTCAATTCAAGAAAACAATTAAAAGTAATGAAATATATACTTTAGATTTACAACCAAATAGTTTAAAGTAGATAGTTAAACCTTTTGGCAAATAAAATGAAGTGAAAAAATTGCCCAAATAAAATCACTAGTAAAGTAACAAACGATTTAAAAACTACCATAACTAATAGTTAAAATAGCAAAAAGAAGTAGATGCAGTTTGTAAGTGGGAAAAGTTATGGTGATAAACTTACCTTAAACCACAAATAACAATTAACAAATGTGATCTCCTCCCTATCAAACCTACCTAACATGGACAATTAAATTAAAACACTAAAAAATTATTGCACATTCAACCTATAAGATTATAGATTTCTTACAACCAAAAAGTAGATTGGTTAAAGAAAAAACATACCTATTAAGAAAGTTGCTACAAAATGGGGAAGATGAGTAGCTAATGTAGTAATATCCGAATTAATAGGTTGCATAATTGCGGTGAATCAAAATTACAGGTAAATGAAAGGAATTTGAATAAATGGGGGTTATTATGGTTACGGCCAAAAAAGCCAAAATTCTCCACTAATTGGCATCAATGGTGTATCTTAACATTTATATATAACAAGTTTGCAAAGAACCAATGAGAAAGGTTTCAGGAAATTAAGAGACTTGAATGTTAATATAATTAAATGATTAGAAGGGTTTTTATTTAATTTCACTAAAACACAAGTTGAATTCAATTGTACCCAATGCTGAATCGAACATCAAACATTGTCGCATGTCAAACTTGCCCCTAACTTTAAATGTTTGAAAGAACAAATTACAACAAAACTAAATTAATTATAATGACTTGTACTCAATGCTCCAATTACGTTACAAACACTGGTACATTCCTAACATAACCCCACACTTACTGTTGAAATTCAAGAATCATTTTTGCCCTGAACTCATTCTGATATAGTGAAGAAAACATGTACATGTTTTTTAAGTAGTAATGGGCTTCTTTAACGTAAGAAAGGATTTAGTTTCCCGCCCAACCCTTTCTTTTTTGATCATTTTCGCTTTCCGAACCAGCTGTCTGAGTTGACCTCTCTCTCTCTCTCTCCCCGTTTGTTGCAAACATTTAGTGCCTAAGAAAGAGAGGCAGAGCGTTAAATGAGAGGCAAACGCAAAACTCTTGCTAGGGGATGACGTGGCTAAACATTTATCGCAGAGTCTATCTGTTGGGTCATAGACCAGATACAGCCAAGTATTTGCCAGGAGCAACGCAAAACCCTCCCTCCCCCTCCCCTGAATATTACAACGTTAAACCCCTTTTCTCCAGTCCTCCCTAAAGTGCCTATGAAGGTGACGAAAGAGAACATAACGCATGCTCGGATTTTGATTTTGTTGTTGATTCTCAGATGTAGTATTAATACCATTATTTAATTAGTAGTAATGGTATATACTATATACAGGGCGGAGAGGACAAGGCTAAACTCACCAAAATAGGAGCAAGACCGGTGGCCGGTGGCAAATATCGGTGGCGGACCAAGGAGGACTGTCTCCGACGACAACGAGACTCCTGAGTCCGGTGAAGGTGTAGTTAGTTGTGAAGTGGAAAAACGCTAGCGGTAATTGGAGCATTGATCTTATTTCTACGAGAAATAGTAGTATCAAGACAACCGGAGTCGCAGATAATGCAGCGGCACTTTGCGAGGCGGCTGTCTGTTTCTCCGGCGGAGCTCTCTTATTCCGCTAGAGGTTTTCTTTTTCTTCTCTCCTCTTTCCTATTTCTTTTCTCCATTTTATTGGTAATTGTTTCTCATTGCCAATCGGCTTTTTTTATTTCGTTTTTCAATTTCATTTATAGAAGCTTCTCTGGCTATTTAATTTTGTTTTTCCTGTGTTATGAATATTTTTTCCCTAAATTTGGCTGGGAATTGCTGTGTATGAAATTAGGTCTTCGTCAAAATTATTTCTCTTTTTTGGTAAAATTTTTCCATAATTTTTTTTTGATTTATTGGTTAGGAATGTTTTTTCTTATGATCAATTTTGAAATGCACTCTCCATTGTAGGCTATTTAAGATCTGTTTGGAATTCTGACAATCATATTGTACTTCGGTGCAACATAGCTTTTGCTGAGACATCAAATCTTGTGGGTGGATCGAAACTCCAATGGCGCAGAAGCTCCTTTGCGGTCTCTGCTGCTTCAGACTCTTCATCAGAAGCTAGGAAGGGTCGGAAAAGGGTCTCAAAGGATGAAAGGAGATCTATGGTGGAATCGTTTGTACACAGGTAATAATCATTCACAACTATGTATCTATTTGATTGACTTTCAGCTTAAATGTGTTGGCATTATTTCTGGTTGAAACTTTGGTTACCACTTTTGAATACATGTTCATCCATAGTTGGATATGCTATGCAGTATTCTTGTGCATAACATGAAAGCTAGAGCCGATGAAAATAGCTTGTATATGAATGCTGAGTCTGTTATGTTCGATGATCATATACAAACATAAAGTTGAATATCTTGGGGTTAGTTTAAGAATAGATTCTTCACTTGTGGATGCCATGCCTTTTGTCTTTTATTGAAGACCAAATATGGTACAAATTATAGTGGCCTAGGTTTTGGCCTATTGCAGATACAAGTTTTAAGAGTTAATTAAATGAAATGCTTTGCAATGCATTATACTTATGGCCCCAAAGTTAAATTTGTGAGTCCAACTAGGAATTGATTTCCAAGAGAAAATTAGAATTAGCCCAGTTTTGACCCAAAGCCAGTGCTGTGAAATTAGACCATTTTGAAGTTAGATTTCATTATTTTGTTTCCTGGTGATTATATTATATTATTATTGCTATTGTTATTATTTTAATGTGTTTTTGACTTAGGCCAGTTAAGTTTTATGAAAAAATTAAATTAGATCTTGAACCAAATGTAGCCTAAACCATTTAATGAACATCCCTACTGTGAATAAATATTTGTAAAGAGTGAAATGGAAGCAGTTGAATAGATATGGAACCGGCAGTACTTAGTTATAACCTAGCTAGCAATTATTAACTTCTGTAGGGTGGGATCTTCTTTTTGAAACTGATGCAAATACCAAAGGAGAACCAGACTGTGTAACCTAATTGTGCACAAGGCACCTGCAAATGAAGGATTAGTATATCTGAAAAAAAATGGAATAGATTTGATTTTTGCTTTTTGATCCAGCTTCCAGACCAAAAGGTATTATCTATGTTTGGAGAAACTACAGTAGCTCATAAAGTTGCTGAAATGAAGACAAACGTAAAATAGCGAAAAACAGATGAAGCATAAGTAATACTTTGTGAGTTTGGAGCTGGTCTTTGCCCTCTCATGTGGAGATTTTAGAAGGCGCACCTGTGAGCCTTCACTGGGCCTCTACTGGTGGTTGTGGAGATTCAATTATGTGGATGACATGATGAATTGAAGGCATCAGTATGAAATACAGTTTTTGAGATGGTTTTTGGATGTTGGAGGGCCTATCTTGTCATTTACTGCTATAATTGGTGATTACCATATCCCTCTTATGCTTTCTGGCTGAGGCGTG